AAAGGGGTCAGTTAATGCTAATATTAACGCTATAAAATTTGACGCTCTATTTAAAAAAGTAGGGTCCCATAATGCTAATTACCATAGATGAAATATTATCGCTTAGTTTAATTTTTATTTACAATTTTTCAGTTTCCACGAAGGTCGGTATGAGTTTAGATAATTTCACTACTACTTTAAGTCTTGGTAACATTTTAAAAATTATCTATGGATTATTTTCAGTCTCCGCTAAAGCCAGGTGCAATTTCAGAATTTAGTGCTACACTTCGTCTTTAACTATTTCTAACAACCAATACATCTGACTAGTTACCGGTTTCCATTCAAGTCCGCTATTTTTTCTGAAATTTAGTGGAATATTTTAAGTCAAGGCAATCTGAATACAATCTTCCAGAGTTTTTCTCAATCTCTACTATGGTTTGGGAGATTTTGGTAATCTTAGTTCTACTTTTAGACTAAGCAAATATAACAGGGTTCCTGCAGACTTAACAAAAACAAATTCCATGACTTTTCCAAACCTTTTCCAGGGCCATTTCATAAAACTCAAGAACCGCGCTATCTTGCATTGTCAAGTAAATGAACATAAAGAATAACATCTTTCAATTTAAAATAAGAAATAAGTTAACAACAAATATATTTAATATGTACTTTTTAAATTTACATGGGCTAACACACTTTGACTTTATGTAGTAATTCATGTCATAATCCAATGATCAATGTAATTTGTATTGAAAAGAAAAAAGGAAACAATTCTTAGTAGTCTTTGTATGTGTTCCTATTTACAATATTGACAAAACACATTACTTTCCAGTTGCTTTCTTTTATTTAGTGAACTACACCTGAAATCATGTGATACTTCCATTAGGAGAACTTACTCTTATTATATGAATTGAAACCATTTATCGATTGTAATTTTATCATTTTATTTAATCGGTTCTCGGTGCTCTATAAAATTTAAAGTAATCAATTTCTTTAACTCCATTGTCACAAATTCCATGACTTTTCCAAAACTTTTCAAGGTTTTGACAAATTCCATAACTTTTCAAGACCCTAGAAATTTATTTTTTAAATTCCAAAATTTTTTCCAGGATTCCATGACCTGCAGGAACCCTGATATAACTTAATCTACTGCGATAATTTCAGTCTCCGTCATATTCTGAAACAATTTCGTATGTTTAGCGTTACTTTTAGTCACAGTCACTTGAATATTAATGTTCCAGATTTTCTTAATTTTCACTGTAGTATTGGACAATGTCGTAATTTTAGTATTAATTTTAGTCTAAACCAATGTAAATTGATGTTCAGGGACATGTTTAGTCTCGGTTAAGTTCTGGGACAATTTCGTCATTTTAGCGTTACTTTTTGTCACATCCATTTCGGTGTTAGTCTTTCCCTTGATTAAAACTATTTATAGCATCATTATAAATATGCAAATTTATGAACACCATCAACATATTTCAAGTCTATGTAATGCTTTATATATAACTCTAGGTTTTATAGGAATATATGTCGGTCTCTACGTCTCTATTTTATAGGTCCCTCCCTAGAGTCGTAGTGCTAGCTGCGCGTATTTAGGACAACTAGGTCAGCTCCTTGCTACACTGTTACCAGTGTTCAGTACCATGACGTCATGCCACCTGGCCAATTTCTCTTGTCGCTATACAGACCCAGGTTGTGCTAATACAAAATTCCCCTTGTCGCTATAAAGGCTAGGTTGTGCCATTTGTCGCCATAGTGCCGCGGGCCATATTTTAATGATAACTCCCATTGTCGCTATACCCTTCACTACTGTTGTTATTGTTATGGGATTTAACACCATTTTTCAGCACAAGATAGGCTATATATGGTGGCCAGTATTTATGGTGGAGGAAGAACCCTGGAAAACCCCGGGAATAACCACCGACCCACGAGAAGCTACTAGCAGGCTTATCATTTACGCACGTTAGCCGAGCCCGACTCGAACTCACGCAAACAGAGGTGAGATGGCAGTCATCCGTAACGGTCGGCGTTTTAGACCACTTGGCGTCCCGATGCACTTATGTAACAACCAAATAATCCGTTTGTTTATGCAACAACCAAATAATCCGTTAGTTATGTAACAACCAAATTAATCCATTAGTTTAGGCAGCAAACAAATAATCCGTTAGTTATGCAACAAACAAATTAATCCATTAGCTTAGGTAACAACCAAATAATCCATTAATTTAACAACCAAAAAATCCATTAGTTTGTTATCATGCTGCTGAACAAGTGTCTAAAAAAATCAGTGTTTTTGGGCATGATAATGTAAACTAATAATCCGGTTTATCAGAGCCCACTACAATACATGGGAGTTGTTCACATCATAATAATATATGTGTAGGGTTAGTTTTATTGTTAATATCATTCATTATTGACAACTTCCAAGTTGCAGCTTTTGCTTCAACTGTGGACAAGTGCTATATCTGAAAATAAACTTGAAAATCTAAATAAAAAAATATATTTTTACTTTTCTTTGTTTTTGGTCAATTGGGTTTTAGAAACAGATGTATAGTTCTCTTACCATATAGCTATCATGAAATGTCAAGCATATTAATGATTTTGGTTCAGGTGGTATGAGAGTGCAATTCTAATCATGAGGCTTTTTTATTATTTGCTGTTTGCTTCTAATGTTCTAACCTTAAAGGGAGACAATTCCAACTAAACTGATACATAAATTTGTGACTACTGTATGTCAATTTGATCTATATTATTTATCCATTACCTATTTAAACTGACTTCTTCAAATCTGATAGCTTTGAATATTAAATTCCATTAGATTAATATTTTTCTTCTCCCTTCTCCTGTCCCACACCTTCAACACATCCACTGACGGCGTTTGTCTGCAAACCAGGTCCGACGGGAGGCTGTTCAACCTGGCACGACTGCGTACAAAGACCAAAGTGAGGCAAGTACTCATCAGGGAGATGCTCTTTGCTGACAACACGGCTCTTATGACCCACACTGAAGATATGCTCCAGAGACTGGGAGACCGTTTCGCTGATGCCTGTAAACAGTTCTGGCTCACCATCAGCCTACTAAAAAAGGCAAATGTCAGTCTCAAGATGTCACCACTGCCCTTTCTATCAAAATCAATGGCACCACCCTGAAAGAAGTCAACAACTTTATTTACTTGGAATCAATTATCAGCAACACTCTTTTGCTTGATGTGGAGTTGGAGAGAAGGCTTGGAAAGGCAAACATAATTATGGCCCAACAAACAAAGAGGGTGTGGGAAAACAGCATACTGACAGTGCACACCAAGACTCAAGTCAACCAAGCCTGTGTTTTGATCACCCTCCTATATAGAAGTGAGATTGAGTGGAGCACCTAAGCGGCAAGAGTGTTGCCTAAACTCCTTCCATATATGATGCCTACAACACATCCTGAAAATCGGCTGGAAACAACGTGCAAGGATCCCAATCATGTCCAACCTGCTGAGCAAATGCCGCCTTTGATGGCTAGGACACGTCCAACGCATGGAGGATGGGAGGCTGCCAAAGGAAATCCTATATTGACAGTTGGCCACTGGCACTAAAAGAGTCAGCCATCCATCACTCTGCTGCAAGGAAGTGTGCATGAGGGACATAAAGGCAAGAAGTATTTTACCAGACAGCTGGAAAGTACAGGCCAAAGATAGAGGCACCTGGAGACTGACAGTCAGCAAGGGCATAGCAGTTGCTGATGGAAGGAGAGCCTAGCAGGCCGCAGAGAAATGCAAGAGAAAGAAGCGTGCATCAGCAAACCAAGCAACTTGAGACTTCCCTGTACATCTGCTCCAACTGCAATAGGGATTGTCACTTGCACATTGACCTGTACAGCCACAACAGATGATGCCAAAATGCTCCAAGGGCGCTACTCAGATTGTCTTCCGAGACTGAACTGCCAGTGATGATGATGATGATAAAAATATTTACTTAAGCTTTTATGGGTATGTTTTCTAAGTAGTAATGTGTTTTGTAATTTGGACTTTTAATGTAGCTTTAATAATTTTTCAGTCATATGGCTTCCATGTCTGCTGTATGGCAGTTTATAGTCTTATCAAGCATTGAAGCATCATGCTGCAGACATGTGGTATCATGCCACACTCAGTTGCAAATTATCCTGTCACCAGGCCAACCAGTCCTAACACTAACCTCTATATGCTGAGCACCAAGTGAGGCAGCTGCTAGTACCATATTGTATAAATCTTTGGTATGACTTGGCTGGGGTTCGAAACCCTGACCTCCTGCATGTGAGGCAGATACTCTAACCATTTATGCCACTAGAGCAGTCTAGTAATGTGGCTATAGGATTATGAATATAAATATATACAATATTACTTGAGGCAGAAGAAAAGTATATGTGCAAATAAATGCATACAAGGATATTGGATGTTAAACAAAGTTATTTGTGCAGATAAAAGTATACAATAGAATTGGAGTTTGAACAAAAGCATGCGACATGGAGCAAAAGTTTGTAGATACATGTGTACAATATTACTCAATTCCGAACTAAGGTAAGTGTGAAGAATTGTTTAATAATGTTTCAAATTGTAAAAAAACTGAATGGTAAGCAGGACTTGAAGTGTTGTGGGACAAATGACTAGCAATGTTTCTTTGAGGTGTCAAAAACTTTTACCATTAGCATAATCAGACACCTTAATCAGACATGTTGTTAACACTGACAATAAAGGTCAGAGTTATAATCATCATAAAGCAAATAATAGAAAGTAATGAATGACCAACAAATACAAAAAGAAAATTTGTATTGAGTTCAGGAAGACTGATAACATGATCCCCTTTTTCACACAACATCGATATATCAGATACATAAAAACAATGGGTATACAATTCTGAAACCAACATTATATGTTTAAAGAATGGAAATGATTAACAGGATATATACAAAATATTAGCACATAAAAATGTAAAGTGTGTATCAATATAAAAAATTAATTCAAAAATACATATTTTTCATAGTCACTCACACAAAGCATTTACATTATTTTAGAAAGTCTGTTTAAATCCAACTTGGGCCAGTGGCCATCTACTTTAAAAGGTATGAATTAATTTGCACTGATGAGTTTGTGTTCAAAAGCACTCATCTAACATGGACAGCCATTTAATACACTGATGTTTGTATTCAAAAGTACCCCTCTAAAATGGACATCCATCTAATGCACTGATGAGCTTGAGTTCAAAAGTACCTCTATATAATGGACAGCAGTCAAATGCACACAGAGTTTGTGTTCAATAGCACCCCTCTAAAATGGACATCCATCTAATGCACTGATGAGCTTGAGTTCAAAAGCAACCCTCTAAAATGGAGAGCCGTGTAATGCAGCAAGCACATTAGTGTCAAATTTACCCTTCAACAGCCATGCTATACTTGGGCTTAAAGATAGAAATCCTAAAAATATTTATGATTTCTAAATTCAACAGACTAACCTTTTTTTTTACATGCTCATAAAGCAAGTTAATCCATAAAAAGAGTTGAATAATTTAATTATTTTTACTGATGTGTTCCTAAGATGTCAGGTATTGTTGCTTACTATTATTATCAAGATAACAAAACTATGGAAATAAAGTATTATTCCATTCAAGTCAATGAGATGCCTGATGAGCAATAAGACAGAATGGTATGTTAGCTGTCATGACTTCTCTCTCATAGATTTCAATATGTATCTACAAAAGGGTGCCAGACAAAACCAGTCAAGCTGACTTCCTTGGTAAACAAAGCATTTTATATAACAAGAACAAATTAGTTTAATATTGGCATACTTGTCAATGATTATTATTCATAATATATTAATTAATGTTAATACAATTGTTTTATCATCTTGGTATAAAAACATGCATGTGATTTTTATATGAAAACATTAAATATTTTAAATGGTTAAACACATTTCATATTTGATATATAATTGTTATTTACATCTGTGTGATACTCTTTTAGACAAGACCCCTTTTATAAGACCAATTTCTTGGTGCAGGAGCGATGACTATTTAATGGAAGTTTTAATAAGATCTAATTTTTACTTTAAATGGGATGGCCATATAAGAGGGGGACACTGTATAAATATAAACAGATTTAATAAGACCTTTTTCCTCCAGTAAATGGGTTGACCATACAAGGACAACTGTCTATACAGCTTTAATAAGGCCTATTTCCTGCTTTAAATGGGATGGCCATATAAGAGGGGGACCAATCTATATAAATATACAGCTTTATATAGACAAGAAACACAAATTAACATTTTAGGTTGGCATCAAACATAATAAATATAATTTTTCAAAATATTTACTTCATCGTGACCTGCTGAAGTAAGTCTGAATTTTATTTGCCATAGCAACAAATACCAGGACTAATCATACAGTTTTAATCACTCAATCACTTCAAGGAATCCAATCATACACTGGTAATTACTCAATCACTTCAAGGAATCTATTCATACACTGGTAATCACTCAATCACTTCAAAGAATCTAATCATACACTAATAATCACTCAACCATTTCAAGTAATCTGATCATACACTGGTCATCAGTCTCAACCACTTCAAGTAATCTAATAGTACACTGGTAATTAGACTCAAACACTAAGTAATCTAATCATACACTGGTAATCACTCCACCACTTCAAGTAACCTAATCATACACTGGTAATCACTCCACCACTTCAAGTAATCTAATCATACACTGGTAATCACTCCACCACTTCAAGTAACCTAATCATACACTGGTAATCACTCCACCACTTCAAGTAATCTAATCATACACTTGTCATCAGACTCAACAACTTCAAGTAATCTAATAGTACACTGGTAATTAGACTCAAACACTAAGTAATCTAATCATACACTGGTAATCAGACTCAACCACATCAAGTAATCTAATCATACACTAGTAATCAGACTCAACCACATCAAGTAACCTAATCATACACTAGTATAAACTCCACCACTTCAAGTAATCTAATCATACACTGGTAATATGGCTCAATCACTTCAAGTAATTTAATCACACCCTGGCAATCACTCATCCACTTTAAGTAATTTAATCACATACTGGTAACCTGATTAAATAACTTAAAGTAATAAAAAAGCATGCAACACTATATACAAGAAAAATATATAATGAAAAATTTTTAAAACAAATTTGTATATAATATACATGCATGACTACTGCAGTTCACACAAAAGCTGATTAGACACAAATAATAATGACAAAAGACTAGAGTTTGTTTGTAGTATTAACAGTCAATGATGCACTTCCAACAGCACTCAAATCAATATATACAGTTGTGTATTCAAAAACGAAAATGGATGAAAACAATTCCAGCTGGATGAAAACATTTCCAGCTCAATCCTGCAACAAACTCTTGGTTCTGGTTGATATATTATGGACATCAAAAATCAGTTTGAACACCGACAAAGAATGTCCTGATATAATCTTCATAAATCTTACAATAATGTGGCTGTCTTGTACAGTATCAATAATGTGGCTGTCTTGTACAGTATCAATAATGTGGCTGTCTTGTACAGTATCAAGAAGGATTTTACATAAAATCAAATCACTCGTGTGCCTTGATATCAAATCTCATCATATTTCAAATAAACAAAATCAGACTTCATCAAACATTTCATAAAACCAATCCTCATCTGATTTCATATAAACAAAATCTGTTTTGAAGCTAACATGATGGATATAAGTGGCACCATTTTCACCTCAAATTTTATTTTTTAAATATCAAGCTATTTTAAACTTTAACTATTTTTTGTTACTTTAAATATTTATGTACAAGGCAAAAATTATTATATTCCAATCACATCACAGTGTCCTATGTAAACATGAGATATAAATAAAAATTTGTTTGGTAATGGTAGCACCACTGATATTTGTAAAACAAGAAATAACTCTGGAACAGTGAAAACTACCAGAATGAATCTCCTTTAACAGAACAGTATACCTGCAATGCTTGTTCACACACACACACACACACACACACACACACACACACACACACACACACACACACACACACACATTAATGAAAGGAACAATGCATTTATTGAATATGCACTCATTTAACAAATTAAAGTATAAAAAAAATTGTAAAATTTATCTAACAGTAGAAAATGATTTGAATGTAATAACATTGGTACATACATGGAATGACTAATTATTGTTCTGAAACTCAATACAATGTAGTAGGTAAATATTCAACTGTAATTCCTCTTACACCTCGATAACTCGATAACTCGTTTACAATAGGGTCCAAAAAAATAGACCACCCTATATGAAAGGGCACGAGTTACCAGGAGACCTCCCAAAAATCCTCTAGACAAAAGACATCAAGAGAACTATGGGGAGGGAGAGGGAACTGGGCTGTTTAATGACTGAACCCTCATTTTATAATAATGTTGAGAACAGTTGTCAATAAAATGCTTTTTTCTGATTAAATTGTTCCTTATTCTGTATAAATCACATTTATTTTCAAAATGTCTAACATGTGAAAGATTGATAACAGGTTTCCAACTGGTTTCAACATCCAATATGACATATGAAAACATGCATGTAATAATACATCACGTCTTTTTGTGTTTCTTGATTAGACTGGTTCTATACAGGAAATTGTGTGAAATAGTTTTCTCAAAACAAGTAGTGTACGAAGCAGTGAACATAATAATTGTTTTTACACTACCAAACAAGTTTCCTTTTTAGTAAAAAAAACCTGCAACATTTTGTGAGATAATTGTCTACATCAAAACTGAATTTTTAAATCGTTCAGTTAAAAACTGATGCCGTGATTTCGTTGCAAGTAACAGTGAATTGTCCTATCATCCTTGAGAATATCTCTATTTGTGAATTTAGGTTATCTCTGAAACTCATTTTCCACAGAATGGTTGGCATTTGTGAAACAAAGCTCTTTATTTTACACAGCACTTATTTTGCCTGATTGCCTTGCTATCTTTGATTGAGATTGTTAATTTAAAGTTGTTTTGTTAGATTACATACACAATAACACTTATAACAGTATTTGATTGATCAACTGAAATGAGTTACCTGACATACCACCAGAGTCGCTGGTTCATAGGTATGTAGGATTTGTATGCTTTTTGAATTGTTTATTCCACCTCCTTTATTTGATTTAAAAGATATAATTAATGTGATAAGAGAAAAGGAGTCCCACTGTTTATTTACTGCAACAATAAAACAAATGTTTCAGCTAGTCTGATATCAAAACAGGGTCAGCACTTAATTAGGTTCTCAGAGAAACACTCACAGACAGTGC